TATGTATGTATATACAAACAAAAAGAAATATAGTGTGCTGCAATACAAACAGTAAAACAAAAAAAAGAACCGATAAAAATAAAGAAAATCATCACAAATTCCTACACACACAGTACACAGACAATGTATATGTGTGTGCGTAACTTTGACTTTGCATGTGTGTGAGTGAGACGCAAGCAGCAAGTGAAGCTTTAATACAATACAAACGAGCTAACCAGAAGAATAGCAACAGCAGCAACAATATCAGAGTGATTAAGTAAATGAGCGAAATAAGAGTGAAAAAACTAAGAAGAAGACGAAGAGAAGAGAGAAAAAAAAAACAAAAACGTGCCGAGCTTTTTTAAAACTTGTGTTGTCACAAATGTGGGGCTTCATCGTCTCTGCTTCTATTTCGGTCTTCGTTGTCGTTGTCTCATTTTATCTCTGTATTTCGGGCGTGCGCGAGCGCGACTAACGCGTTCCACCTCCATAAGTGTGTGGAATGCATTTATGAGTGTGTGCGTGAGTGTGTGGACCTTACATTCGTTCTTTAAGCTTAAAAGCTTTTTTTTTTCTTTTTCCATACATTCATAAATTATAATGTATAAAAGGTTTAAAATAAAATGCATGCGTATGTGTGAATGAGTGCGTGTGTGTTAGAAATGCGATACTCGGCAAAAGATAAGACAACGCTGTGTAATTTTTGATAGAGCTCATCCTCATGTGAGAGACCCCTAACAGAAATTGCAAACAAAATTAAGTAAATAGCCTGCATAGGAAACACATGTAATGTGACGACGCAAATTAAAATCTGCTTAAAATCGTGTATGCAAATTAAGGTCAGACCTTCAGATTAACTGACTTGACTGAAACTGTCTTTAATATTCATTGGACCTAAAAATAAAATAATTTAAAAAAGCTGCTCTGCAAGATGGATAACAAAGCATCAGCTGGATTGTGAATTTGTTGCCGACTTTTGGCACACATACAAATACATATACATGTATTGCAGCATACATACATACATATGTGGCAGAGAATTAAATGATTGTTCAAATTAAATTTATTCAATTCGTTGTGATGTGTACGGAGAGTTCGCGACGCGTTTGAATGTCTAAAATAAGTAACAAAAAAATCCAACTAAAATTTGGCAATTGCATAAAAGTCAGGCAGCAACATGGGTCAGACATCAAGTCATAGGCAAAGCCTGACGTGCAGCCACAATCACAATAACAACAACAACAAGGATGAATCGAGTGCGAACGCCATTGCCTCAGCTCAGTTTGCCAACCGACGGACATCAGCACGCAAGTCGAAAACATCATCGAAACACTATTCACCGTTACAAAAAGAAGAGCTTTCAATATTACGCGATTCTTTGCTACGCAACGGCAGTATTATGCGCAAGAGCATGACCGATCCACAACGTCGGCCGGTCACCATAAGCGAGCTGACAACGAGCCAAGCTCAAGCTCAAGCACAAGCACAAGCACAAGCATCGAACGCCGGCTCCGAGGATTTGCTTGTGAGAGAGCGCAGAGAGAGCTTTCAGCTGTCCATTGAGTGCAGTGCAAAAGTGGAGGATGTCGCAACGGCATCCGCACCGCGCACCGAGAATCACAATGAATTTTACATTGTGGGAGATGGATACCATAAGACGGACTATTGCCATTATCGTACGCCCAATGGTAATTTTCATAAGCTACCCTCAGATTCGTTTCACAAAATGTCTGAGGGCTGTTTTGTGCGCATGCCCGATGGCGTATTCCGTCGCCTGGAAGTACCAAAAGCTCAACAGATATCCCGTCGTGCCTCCAAGCTGGACGAGATCTCGGGCACTGAGAGCAATGATAATGGCTTGGGCGGTGCCACCAGTGTCAAAAGACAGCTATTAAACTTTCTGAAGAGATCAAAGAGTCATACACCTGCTACAATAGCCAAGCTACAGAAGGACAAGGACGATGCTCGACTTGAGCGCAAGCAACGTCTGTCGAATGCGATGCGACAGAGGGCGATAGAATTGAAAACATCATCTTCAGCGACAGCTGCCAGACTCAACAATCCGAACAATAAAATCGTAGTTACTATGATTGAGAACGGAGGTCTACCGATCGTGGCCACTAGCAAGCCCGATCGACCCAAAAACAAGGAGACCGCATCAATAGCTGCTGATAAGGCGCGTACGTCAAGGGTATGTACTGAACAACGTGTAGCGGGGGCTTTAGAAAGTATTTGAAAATATAATTATTCTATTTGCATACATACATATTTGAATACCTTGCGCCCGTACAAATATGTTTCAAACCCCTTTCGTATATTGCCCAATATCAAATTTATAATCTTCTATAACAACTATGGATATCAAAATG